GTAAGATGACATACCATGAAAGATCAAATCGAGTTCTTTAAACATCGCACGTTAGAAAAGGGCGGGGAGGACCAGGAAGACCGTTATTTGAGGGACCTTCAGCTAAAATCAATGAGCGAATCATGAAGGAATGGTTAGAATCATTTATCAAGTCATCATAATGAAGAAAACTAGAGGAAAGGCCATACCTAGATCAATCTCAACAAATTTGTCTGGAAGAGTGTTTTGAGGAGTTTGGTTTTGAGGAGTTGGAGCAGGAGCAACAGGGCCAAGTTCAATATCTTTGTCGGCGTCGGTAGAAGGGGTTTTGGGAGCGGCGTCAAAGTATGAGTAGATGGAATGAGAAGAAAGAAGAGCCCAAGAGAGAATGATAAACAATTTCTTAGAAATCAACTTTAAAACAAACAACTCGGGGACTTTGTGAGGAGAAGAGATTTTTTGAACGGCCCAGATTAAAAAGATAACAAAGAAGAAGTTTAAAGGGAAGTTGTCAGCCCTGAGTACTAAACCAGAGTACCAATGGGCAACGTATTATAATAAAAACCTTAAAAATAGCAATTACAACTCAAGGCTCAGTTTCAAGAGTCAAGTTACATATGATTTAGCATATGTAACATGTGCAGAACTTACATCAAAGGGTGTGAACATACATAACTTTGATGCAAACCAAAGCTACATATATTTCACAGCCGTAACACATATGTAACAAGTGAAATATACTTATAATCCAATAGTAACTGTCTTACTGTAATTAACCTAACCATAGAACCACAATTTGTGCGCACTTGTAGTCCAAAGATTTCCAAGGTTCAGACTATATAAACCCTGGAAATCCAACCAAATTGAGAAGAATCACATCATCACATTATTATTCAACAACTACACAACTTTGCTTTCATTCATCTTCCTAGAACCTTTAAACTTTGCTTTTCAATAACCAAACTTTAAAGGCCTGATTCTACAAACCTTGAAACTCAAACCTTGTGTCTTGTTGCTTATTCTGTGTGCTCATTCAACTTTGTTTCTGATTAGACTCCATAATCAGTATTTCTGGTAATATCCATTTGGTGGAATTACTTGTAAGGAAGTAGTCCTTGAGTATTGCTCATATCAGATTTGGGATTCATCTGATATAAGAAACTCTAAATCTACGGGGAAATCTCTATTAGTCAGAGTGTAAAGTTCCCGGTGTTATAATAGACCTTAACACTACCTTCTTTGACCTTTCTTAGAATAGAAGAGGATCAAATTAGGATTGAGAACTGCGCTTCAGTTGCTCTCCTTTTTAATTATTGTAAAGACAATAATTAACCCAAAATCCCTGGGCTAAAGCCTTTGTTTAAAGGTCAACTAACTGCAGTCTTTACTTGTTTATTGCAAGTAAAGCTCTTACGCCCACGTCTATACCCGTTCACACTTGTAGATCTTGATCTACACAACCTTAGTAGAAGTTATTAGACTTTCTACAACCTTTATATTGACTCTAATAGCCTAACAGACGCTAGTAGGCTCACATTTGGGGGCCTCATCCGGGTTTTCAAACCCTTTTTGATTAATTTTTTGAGTGTGTTATAGCTCAACTCATTAGAAAACTTAGAAATAAACAAAAAAATATTTCATTTCATTTGTTTGATTGCTTCAATCAACCTTTAATTGCAAAAACTGAGGAAAGCTCAGCATTTTTTGGTTCTAGGATAATAACTTGGAGGAAAGAAAGAAATTCTTTTCCCCCCAAATTTCGCATTTTTTTTATTTTTTTTTATTTTTGGGCAAAAGGATCAATATTTGACCCATATACAACTCTATTACACATAATTCCTTGTTGAATTATACTTGTAATTCATTTATTTGTGTTGTGTAATATAGCCAAAAACGTGGCTTACATATATAATTACACTTACACTGCGAATATAATGTATTTTTCCGAGGTGAAAAATGATTACATTTATTTCACAAAATGATTAAAAATGCATTAATTCTGCATTAATTCTGCATTTTTCTGCATTAATTCTGCATTATTAATCATTTTGTGCATTAATGTCAATCATTTTTCACCTGGGAAAAATACATTATTTTTGCAGTGTTACAGACCACTCAGTGATCTGTGTAATACACCCACGAGGCAATTATACAAAAGCCCCGCGCGTGGTCCGACAGCCACAGCGGTACTGTAACACATACCCTTCGAAATTTCGAATTATAGAAATCAGAAGTTTCCATCCTACGCCAATTTATCCCGCATCTGACCTTTTGATTGATCGGTAAAGCCACCGGAACAGCATCCGACGCCAATTGACCTGCAAAAGAAAAAAGAACACAATCAGTACGAGTATACTTAGATTGAAAGAATCAAGAACTCACATAGTAACTGATAGGAATTTGATAGAAAACTAATCGAACTACTTTGTTTTCTCGGTAGTGTTGATTCAATTGAAATATAGTCAAATCGGCGAAAAACACAAAAGAAAGCCTTATCAAACAGAACGATCGCGACCTTCTGATAGATCATACCAAATCAACAGCAACCTGTTTTTGATTTCTTGTTGTGGACATCAAGTACACCTTTCTCACACCATCATCATCATTTAGAAAGATAGCTGATTGTTGTTATCTACATCCTGGTCATTCTTTGCTTGATTTTGATCAAATCATAGACACGATCATTGCTACATACATGTAACGTACTGTCCAACAACCTCCTGTTCAATTAAGATCAATTGCGAGTTATCAGCCTCAGTCTCGTTTTAGACACAGTTCTTAAAAAAAAATAGCTCACTATTGAGAGAGACTTCCATCTTCGATTTGACTTATTCAAGAATATATCAAAGACCTCTATAAGTGAGTTAACCTGATATAGTAAACCCTTATTGATTCTGTTTCAGAATACACGTCAACTGATAGTTCCTTTTGTTTGAATTCAGTCTGGTCTTTATAAGTTCTTGAACAGAACATCAATCAAATTGAATAGTTTTCATTCAGGAAATTTCTTGCTTTAGATCATTTTAACAAGATTCTAGAATTAAGTCAACTTCATAAAATCAGGTCATTGATTGACTATCAGAGATATAAAAGAAAGACCTTTCTTTTATCTCCAACTTCAATCCATTCTTTTTTCATTTAAGAAAAACATTACTCACTTGAGCGAACCACAGAAGATTATAACTTGCAAATCTTTAGCATAGTGAACTTGGAAAATTAAAATCAAGAACTATCTTCATCAAATCAAAGCATCTTGAAGACAATTTAAATCAAGGACAAAGAATTCTCTTCAGCCAGCCAATTCAATTTCATAACAGTTCAGTGCCAAAGATATCATCTTGAGTAGAATTTGCTATTTGTTTTTATTTTAGAAGCATTGGATTAACCAACTTGTTGTAATTAAACCAATTTGGCTATTTTTTTTATCTTGGCTCAAATAGACATCTTTTGACAAGCATCCTTCCAACTCATTTTCTTTTACTCTCAAAGTAAATTTATTTTGTCATGATTTTATAGGAATAAGACAAGCACGGTGTGAGTGATTGTCTCTTTTGAAATTGCATACAATTGAGAAATCAATCTTTTAATAACAATTGATTAACTTGGGCCAGTTATCAGATCTGATATCAAATCTTTGTTGAGTAGTTCTTGACTTTGGTATTTTTTGTTGATTTAAAAATAAGTTCCTTTTCCTGTGTTGAAATCTTTCATTGATTTTATTTGACTAATTTAAAGAATAAGGAAAAAAGATTTGAGCTTCATTCTACAACAATCAACTCAAGTTGAAAAGGTCTCAGTTGTTTCAACCAAGGAAAGATTTCAAAGAAATTTAGTCAGTTATTTGAGTTATTGGCCTTTCTCTATCTGGAAATTTATAAGAGAATTTAAATTTGTTTTAGATTTATTTTCTGGAAATTTCATATCTGCTCATTTGTCACAATGGCTGATTGGAATCCACCACCTCACCCTCGTAGACGTAATGAGCCAGAGCGTTATGGCAACCTCCAAACCACCAGCACCAGCCGGCCTGGAACCGATGGGCCACGGTCAAAGATTGGATCCAGGGCGGGATCAACAGCCAGCAGTAAGCAAAGGGCAAATGAAGGCAAAGGTAAGCTTTCAATTACCACTCAGGATCTGCAAAAGGACTCAACCAACCTTCTGTTGACAACAGAAGTTGGCAAAGTAAAACCATCAGCGTCAGGACCTTCAAGCTCAGTAGATGATCCAAATATTCAGCCTAAGAGTGGTCAAACCGGCAGCTCAGCAGCTGAAGACAGCCATGAACCACCAGCGGAACTCCCATCTGAGGTCACACCAAGGGCATTTGGCTCAATAGTACAACCACAGCTGAGTGAACTCAAGCCAACAGGACTTTCAGGTCTATTACCAGGCTCAAGTGGACGCAGGCCAAGCGCTGATTCTTTTGAACAGGGGTCATTTCTTGCAAAACTTCAGAAGTCAAAGAGGCCTGGAGAAAAAGATTTAGGTACACTGAGTACTCAAGAAAGAGTTATTTTACGTAAGTTCTCGAGAAATAACTCAGAGTGAATTCACTTACCTA